ATAATGAGAGATGATAATGTGATATGAGAATGCATAGAGCCTTGATTTACATGCATCATTTGCATAAATATTTTTAAGGGTACGATATGGAATACACTATCAGGGAAGCCCCCCTTGTGTAAAAGCTTAGGGATTAGTCCTTGGGGATAGCTTAGTTTGTAAGTCCCAGTCTCGCCCATTATGTGCAGGGATGTATCTTGTGCGGCTTAGATATCCCAACTAGACCCTGGTAGTATGTCCTTCTAATGAGAGTGCGCAGAGGGTGTGACCCAGCATGTACTCCTAGACTACTCTACGTGTGTTGCTAGCGACAATGCATCATGTGATGTGTTACTGGCGCCACATGCATGATAATATTAGTTCGTGTCCATTACATATGCATTTTAATGTTATATGTTAAAGTGATTTTTATGTCTTGGATGAGTGGGATGTGATATTGTTGTTAATCTATCTATGCTATGTACATATACATGTCTTATTTGTGTTTGGCTATCCGATGTGTATTCCTACACCGTGAGACAAAGTGAGATGTTTCTCACTCCATTTCCTTTTGTGTTGTTTTCCTTTGGTTGTAATACAGGTGATAATCAGCATGAGGCTGAGGATGTTGGTGATGAAGCTTAGGCTTCAGTGTTAGGCTTTGCTCTGATAGGACATGTGACATTGGGGCGTAGATAGGATTAAATTAGGATGTTATTTCTATTAAATTATTTTGAAAACCTTAGCCTTATTTCTTTTTTAATTTCCGTTGATTATGTTATTTGTTTAAGTTATAGATGTGATGCTCTCTATCTGAACACGTTTGGTATTTAAATGATAAAAGATTATGTTATTCAAAATTTATTATTTATATGTTATGGTATACGGGTTAGAGGGTGCCACAAACTAAGTTTTCGACTTTGTACTTTACTTAATTTTTGGTCCCTTGTAATCAGTATAGCTCGACCTGACCCCTATACTGTGATCGCTTCATACACGTGTGCCTCGACCTTGCCCACAAACAGTACCAACTAAGTTCTAGAGGAGAACAACACAACATCTACTCCAAGAGACAACTTCCCAAGGAGGGTTTTCAACAAATTGGGCTTTTAGAGCACCACAACACACTCAATCCACACAATGGGATGAGTAACTTTCAAAAACATCTCCTCTAGTCCTAAGTGGTCAACACATCTCATCAACATGGTACAACAACACATTGTTAGCAACACAACAACTCAACAATACAATTTTTCAACAAAACAACCCATATATCAACTTTACCTATCTCTACAACTTCACAACTCTATCATCTCAACATGCTTCAACAACACATCAACATTCCACACATGAAACAACATAAAACTTATAAAACAACTCCAACAACACACAACACATTCGACACTTAATAACAATTCAACACACATGTTTGCAACTCATCTTCACATTAAAAATATATCATATATTCCCATAGCACAAAACAAAGTCGCGCCCAACAAAATTTCTATTTTGCTTGGCGCGGAGCTCAACCAGAGAGCTCCAAGCTCTCTCACACCTGATGTGGAGAAAATCTTGCCCGACCCTGATCTGGTAGAGACTCCCCAAGGGAATCTCGCTTGGTGTGGTAAGTGCCACGCTTGACGTAAATTTTGCAGAGACTTACAAGGGTAATTATGCCCGACATGATAATTGCCACGCTCGACGAATTAACCCCAAGGGCATCAGGGCCCTCTCACGCCCAGCGCAAGGTGTCTCGCCCGACGCTAAGGCTTGACAAAGACTCCTCTAAAGAATAACACCCGACGTGATAAGTGCCATGCTCAATGCCATATCAGTAGAGGTCCTAAAACTCCATTTACTGATATCACACTCGGTACCACCTCTTCCATGCCCGACCCCATTCACCTAGAGACCCCAATCCCACTTCGCACCCAGTGCAACCAACTTTGCTATTAATATACTGTGTTGATTATAAGCTATGTTGTTAATATACTTTGTTGATAAGTAGTGTTGTTAATATACTTCATTGATAAGTAGTGTTGTTAATATACTGTGTTGATAAGTTGTTTTGTTAATGTACTTAATTGATAAATTATGTTATTAATATATTGTGATGTAAAGTTGTTATGTTGTGGAGTTGTGCTACAAAATGGCTATACAACTAAGTGTGTTTGAATACCAATTTGAAATCACATTCAACAGAAAAACACAGATTCTAATACAGAAAAAGTAACAGCTTATGAATGTAGCTTTTTTTCAACCCTTGTTGAGTTTAACTCAACTAGCTCCCAAACACATCCTAAGTTGATGAGTTGTATAATATGTTATTATGTTGCTGTGTGAAATATGTGAATTCTTGTATGTTGTTAAGTTGTTGAATGTTGAGTTGATAAGTTGAGCATATGATTATTGATGAGTAGTTGATGTTAATGATGTTTATATAGTTGACTATTTGCTTTTATATATGTTGATTTCTTTGTTTCAAGCTTACTCTTATTTTTCCTTGTTGTAGGACTACAATAATCATATTTGATATGGGAGTTGAGAAAGATTAGGTTGGAAGACACGCTTGGTGGATAGTCATGTTGGAACGATCATACTAGTTTATGCCTTGTTGTGCTATTCTAATACAACATGTTTTTCAAGATGCTTGATTGGCACTAGGACTTTGTGTTTGCAATATCTATAGTAGATGTACATTTGTATATATGTATAAAGCTTTGTTGTAACTTCAAAAAGAATTTTTATGTTTTTAAAGTCAAAATTGGCAGAAACTATTTTATGTTTTATATGTCCTATACACACACATACATATATACATATATACATATATATATATATATATATATATATATATATATATATATATTATATGAATGTTTAGGTATTGTTACATGATAATCATAGTTTAATAGATTCTATTTATATATTTTTTGTTTTATAATGTTGTATTATATTAAATATAGTAATTTGTCCGGTTATTACAACTCCTGAGTTGGTAAATCTTGAGTTGTTAAATAGTAACAATAAAAGATAAGCATTAATAAGCAACGGAACTAAAATAAACAAAAAATAATAATAATAAAATTAAATACAATGTATATATAAATAAGTTAATTTCAGTGTAAAATTGAAAAAGAATATTCATCGATTCAAATCATATCAACATTTTCTATAAGGTTTAAATTTTTATATTCTTTATTTTCAATATTTATATTAATATTTTTTTATTTTATGTATTAAAATATTTAAGTTTAATGTTATATGTTTTCCTTTACTTTCATAATAGCTAAAAAAAATGTCTCTAATTCCTAACATTAATTACTCTTGAAAGGATTAGTTAAAGGGCCGAATAATGAAGCATAGAACTAATATATATTATATAGTTATTATCAAAGATTCAATGTACAACGTCACATTATTCAATTATTCTCTAAAATATTACATACATTAGTTATATAAAACTCATTACTATATAAATTAATTATAAATATTATGTAATCAATTTTTTCTATTATTATAAAATAAACACACCAATGTTATCAAATTATAAAAAAGTATACAAATAATAAATATATAGACAAAATGTTTATTATATTTAATCAAAATTTATAATAAATTATACATATAAATAAATATTATGTTTGAATATATAAATTATATTTAAAATTTATATAAATAGATATTTTTAAATATATAAATTATATTTTAATTTTTGATAAATAATTTATATTATAGTACAATATTATTTT